TCTCTACTTGCTTCTTCAGGTCCCAAAGCAATTGCTTCACCACTCTTGTTGATTCCCTTTAACTCTGCCCAAACATTTGTAAATAATTATTCATTAACTCTTTCTTCATAGCATGTTTGTGTGTGTAAACTGTTTCCCAGAGATCCTGGCCAACAAGTAGGGAAGGCCCTGAGTATATTTGGGCAATGGAAGTTCAACCAGATTTGACTGAGGTTGACAGGAGTAGACAAGAAACAAATATCATAGCCCAATTATAAAGGGCCATACTAAGGCACTGAAGCTTTATATTGAAAAATCAAGGTTTTGAAAAGTGATAGAACAGAGGGAGCAGCTTTGAGAAAATGAATCCAGTGTCAGGAAGCAAATTAAATTGGAAAGACGAAACCAGTGCTGGAAGTCAGGAGACTTGCACAGTGGTCCAGGGACGAGTGATAAGGGCCTGACTAAGTGCTGGCACTGGAAATACAAATAAAGATTCAGATAATACAGAGGCATGGGAAAGAGGATGGTTGGATGAGAGGTAGAAAGGGCCCCTGGGAGGGAAAAAGTCAAAGTTGGCATCCAGGAGCTGAAGAGAGGAATTACGTAGGCAGAAATAGGGCAGTCAAGGCAAGGGCCTATCTAGGCTAGTTTGGGACACTAAAGCTTGAGGTTTGGGAAGTAGAATCACCTAGAATGAGCACTGTGGTCTAAGAGGAAGGCAGCCTTGGGCAGATGTCCACTGGGAAGAGGGAGAAATTAGACTGGATAGGCATGTGTAAGCAAAGTTTTGGTTTGGGAATTTAATTCTAAACAATCACAATCCTATCTACGGGTCACGAAGCAGCCACCTGCAGGCCAAGAGCAGACCAGAACTATGTTTTGTTAGGCTCACAGTGTTTTCTCAAGTTTTGAATTAGTCCCAACATTAAAAATTTGGATATCTCACACACAAAAAAATTCCAGATTGTTGGCCTTTCTGACAACACTGGGCTCACATTCTCACACGTCAGCACTCGGCCAGAACCAAGCAGTCATCTAGATCCTGCACAAGGGTCCTGTTCACCTCAACTCCACTCGGCCTATGTCACTCATTTATGTCACCTGCTTAGCCCTGGAACGCTTTGTGGTACCTGCTAAAGATGATGAGAGTACATGGCAGATTTTAACAAAACTGCTGTCTCCAAAGACCCCCTGGGGAAAGCTGAGAGGATGAATTGGAGCAATTCAGTTGAGTTCAGCATTTCTGAGTGCTTACTATGTGCCGGGCATTGGGGTAGGCACCACAGAGCCTGTGATGAATGAGTAGTGTCTGTCTATTTTGTAACAGGAAAGACAAGGAATATGAAGACTCTTTTATGTGGCTGTTTCAGAAATTCTGGCACCAGTGAGGGCTCAGACTAGACAATGAGAACAGAGATGAAGGTATGAATACAAAACATGTCAAAGGAACTTCTGTGACAAATTAGCGATAGGGGATAAAGAAAGAAGAATGTGAACTACAACCTTGTTCCGGTGGATATAGTGAAGAGGTGTAAGTAACAGAAGTGGATTACTCAAAGCGCAGTAAAGGTCCAACGCAGGTGAGAGAGAAGGAACTGAAAATCAGATGAGTGGTGTTCTACGAAGAGGTTGCACAGGCTGCACCCTTCCTCTTGGCACAGCTCCTCTTGAGTAATGGCAGCTCTACCACATGTGTGGTCAGGAACTGGATTACTAGTTTGTTAACAAATAAAAAAATTAAGCAATCTTCATTTAATCCTGCAGGACCAAGTTGGAACTCTACCTCTGAAGCTGTTTAAACATTGTTAAATATTTGTTTAAATAGTAAGCTGTATAGCAAGGCTTTGGTAGTAGAACAGGAGAAAATCGTCCAGAAAACAAAAACAATCATATGTAGCTCTCTGATGATGCGGAGTTTAAAGTCACACCGGGGTTCTTTAGTTCCCTAACTCTTAGGGGCAAACTGTAGGAATTTTTCTTAAAGAGTTACTGATTAAGAGTTACTAATGAGGACTTGACAATGAAACAGTGGCTCCCTTTGCTGCTGAGAAATTTCTTACCAGTGTCCCTAGCCTACACTCAGTTAACAATCAGAAGGCCTTATAATGGGGAGGGGCTGACAATTTCACCAAGCCATACATTTGCTAAGCAAAAAATAAAAATTATATTTACAGAAAGAAAACTCTCGCATGGTTAGCTCCAGAAAAGTAATAAATCATTCAACTGGTTTATTTCAACTAAAAGTTAAAGGTTTTGACTGAATTATATAGGGGGAGGGGAGAAATGCTTTGTTTTTCTGCTTGCTTTATCCAATGGGAGCTTGATCGCTCTGTTCCACTGTATAAATTATCACAATTTAGCTCCCCATTCACAGTTAGCCTCTAGTCAGGTACACTGAAAGTTTACTTTCAACATCTGCACATGCTTGTGTGTGCCCATACCCAGAGCACAGAACACAACGCACTGGAGAGAGAGGCTTGATGTGGAATTAATTTGCTCTCAGACACACAACAGGGATCAGCTTAGGCCTTGTTTCCTGAATCTATTCAATGATCACAATAAAATTACTCATCAGCCTCAGGAGCACTGGGATTCCCACTCAGAGTCTCACATAGAAGACTCTAAAGGGTAGGGTTTCATAAACAGGGACTGGCCAGTTATCAGTCATATTGTTCCTTGAAATTCAGTGTGAGATCTTAATGCAATGAGAAAAGACTTTAATTACAAGTTATACATCTGTTGTTAGCAAATGATTGAAGAGATGCCAAACTCAATCCTTTAATAAGGTTAGGAACAGAATGGGGGTTAGGCTAGGTAACAGGTGTGCCCAAGCTTTTGTCTTCTCTATGTCTAACTAAATGATGCAGTACTCAGTCCTGGTGAAGCTTTGTCTGAGAATGTGTTAGGAGTCAGGAGACCCAGGTCCACATACCAGGTAGTGCCAGGTAGGTCTCATCTTTAACTTTTCTTGGGCATGCTTTCTTCATCAATTGATAAGGGACTAGACTGGATGTCTTCAAAGGCCTCTTCCTTTTATAAAACTCTATAATCCTCTAAATGAGGGGGAAATGGAAGTGGAGGTTCACAAGCAGGTACTTAAATGGGAATATTTGTTCTGCTAACGTCTCAGATTGATCAGAGCTGGAAATTATTGCAGCAAAGAATGACAAGCGTTACTAACCAGGCCTGCCCCTCAAGTCTCTTCCTCTTCTTAGAAAGACACAAGTCAAATTGGATTATGGCCCCACCATTCAAGGTATTCTCATTCAATCTTAATTACCTTTTGAAGGCCCTATCTCCAAACACAGTCACATTCTAAGGTACTAGGGGTTAGGGCTTCAACATATGAATTTCGAAGGGACAGAATTTAGTCTATAACACCAGTATTTGCCCTTCCCAAAATTATAGGCTTAAATAGTCCCAGTGTGTTCTAGATTTCCTGCTCTTTACAAAATTCTCTCCCCATCTTCCTGCCCCAATGCAGCACTTTGGAGATCACAGGGATGGATGGATGGACCTACTCTCTACCTTTCTATTACCATCTACATTTGTTGAATTACATAGACTTTTAAGGTTGGAAAATAAAAAGCAATCAATTGGCTTCAGGCTTAGTCTGAGCAGCTTCTAGCAATTAACCCTCATTGCTCCTTCAAGGTTAGAGGAGCTATGTTGTGGGTGGTAGGGCAGGGAAAAGAAAAAAGGAAAGAGAAATGTATATCTATGCCCAGAGATGATTCATCATGGGTCTGTCTCTGTTCCCTATAACATACTTCCTTTGTTACAGTATATCAGATTAACAAGCCTAGACACAAGCAAGACGGAAAAGAAACTATTTTACAAAGAAATCCTTACTTTCATTTTCTCTGACCGAACACCAGCAAAACAGACCTGCACACACAGACGCATGGGCACTGACTGACATTTCAAGCATTCCAGCTCTAAATGTATTTATTTACACATTGGTTCAGCCAGTTAAAAAAACAAAAACAAAAACAAACAAACAAACAAAAATCAAACAAAAACACACACACACACATACCAGGTTTTAAAGTTATTTCTCAAACCACCAGCTGTCTCCTTGATAGATTCTGGTTTTTTAGATATAGCCACTTATTCATTCAAAAAATATTTGTTGAGTACGTTCCATGTACCAGTATTGGAGATACAATGATGATGGTCATAAGCATGCAGTCCACTCAGGGAGACAAACAAGTTCTAATAAATGGTACTTATTTCACTCCTCTGTGCCAGGTGCAGTGCTGGGGCATTTTATAGACATGGTAAAGCACGATAATCTCCACTGTTCAAGGAAGTGACCACACAAAAAAGTTCAAAAGCCAAGGCCACACTGCTAGTCAAAGGAAGTGTCAAAACCAGAAGCTATGTCACCTGACTTTCTGGACAGAGCCCTTTCCACTATCAGAGGATCTTACCCTGGGGACCATGAACTTGATGGAAAATATGTTTTACATGTTTATTTTCATGAATTTCTGAGAGTTAACACTTTGTTCAATTATATATGTAGACAACAACCCTGGCAGTAATAGTAGTACCTATTCACCAACAGAAATCACAGATATTTTCTAATATTACAGGTGTTGCCTATATCTTGAGATGTTGTTTATGTTCATTACTACTTCAAAATTATGGTAGCTATTAGATCCACTGTAGATCTTGTTATTTAACACATTATTTTTAAAGGCACATATATTACTTATTACTACATCATAAATTCTTTTAATATTTTACAAGTGTTTTGGAATTGGTTTCCTTTATAACACTGTGCTTTTAACTTTACATCTTTAAAAGTTCTTTACTGAGAAGGGGTCCTTAGCCTTCCCAGAACTGTCAAAGGGATACATGGCACAAAAATGAGGCAAAACCCTACATTACAGCAATGGGCAGCCCAGACAGATCCAGAGGGTCTGTTCACTGTATCTTTGGGCAAGAAGCTAGGTTGGGATTTTTATAATTAAAAGAGAGACATAAAGAGGAAAGAAAAGGAGCCACAACTTCACCAGAGGCTCCCTTCCTTCTTCCCTTTCCACTTCTTCCTGTTCAGCGCGTGCTCTAAATGCTCTCCTCGGCTGGTCGCAGCCACAGCTGACTCCTTCAGTACATCTTTGTCCCACGCTAGTGTCAGTGGATTAATGCGTCCCCACTGTGGGTAGACAGGCTAACGTCAACCTCTGACCACCGAGGCTGAGAGCCACCACTCCCCAGGATGGGTGTTGGGTGACACAGTAAACAAGCGGAAGGCGTCAGAAATTCCCACACACTAAGACCAGATACTGCGGTCTTCAACCGCCCGTCGCAGCTCGACCTCTCCGCGATCCCGAGGCCCGACCCTTGGAGAAGGAAGCAAGAGTCCCAAGACAGGGGTTCCAGACAAGGGCAGCAAAGAGCTGCGGGTGCCGCGTGGGGAAGGAAAGTGGGAAGCGGGATGGAAGGCGCGGCACAGGTCCGCGCAGTCCCAGCGGCGGGAGCCAACCACCAGCCTCGGGCCAACCACCAGCCTCAGGGGTGCGCTCTGTCCCTGACCCGTCCCCCGCCCCTGGCCGAGGGCCCGAGATCGGCCGCCGGACGCCTCTTACCCAGCGGCAAGCGGAGCCTCGGGCCACGGTTGTTGGCACAGCAAAAGCTGCGGCTCCCTGCCGGGGCTCCCGGCCTCGGCAGGGGCCCCGCCCTCCCGCCCGCCCGGCCCCCCTCGGGCGGAAACTGGAGGCGGGGAGAGCGAAGCTCCCCCCAGGAAAAGTCCGGAAAGGTCCCGCCACCGCCCCGCGCGGCGCCCCAGTCTGGGCACCAAGGCCAAGTGCTGACCGCACCCGGCTTTATGAGCGCACAAAGGACAGGGCAGAAATGCGGGGCTAGGCGGCCCGCGGCGCTGCCCGTGGGGCTGACTTGTCCCTACTCCCCGCACACCCCGAGAGCGGCCGGGCACCCTGCCGAGCGACAGCGGAGGTCACGGACGCCACCTGTCATTTCCCCCTCCTCGACCCGACGGGTGGCGACAGCTTTGCGTAACAAGGAAGGGCAAAGGGAGGCGGGGCTGTGGATAGAGGCCTGGCTAGTTTCTGTCAGTCCTCCAGGGCGTCCTGGGCTTCTCACCCATTTCCCACAGCTTCCCAGGGAGATAGCTGTTCCCGAACCCATTTCACAGATAAGACAACCCAAGCTCAGAGAAGCCCACTGACTTTCCTTGGTAAGCAGAGGGGTAAGTCAGGGCCAGTTGGCTTTCAGCCATTGCCCTCCATACTTTCCTCCGACTTTCATGACTGGTCATTTTCAACTGGCTGCTGTAGAATTCTAGGTGGATGCAAAAGTAGAAGTAAGTGGTTCTCCACAATATCATATCTAACGGCCCCTTTTAATAATACAGGCTGTCCCAAAAGTCGTACTGAAATTTTAAGTCTTATTAACTTCAGATGTGTGTTACAAACTTTTCCCCAAAAAAAGCCCTCGAAAGTATATTTACGTTTCTTTCGTTTTGTGACTTCTGAATGATTAAAAAAAAATTTTGTTACAATCAATGTTTTATATCTTCAATCAGAGGGACTAACTGCATCTATGATAAAATCACTATAAACACTATGGCTACAAAAGCAGATGGTAGACTTCTTTAGGCAACTCAGTTCTACCTGCAGCTTCGCTTCTGTGACGTGATTTTCTGAAATGGGGAACAACTCTGGTAAAGAAGCGCTAAACAAAATAATCTTGTCTTAGTTTTTCCAATAGATGAATTCCTGGAAATGTCAGTATGTTAAAGCCATGCGAATTGCATATTTGTAATTATCTGAGCTAGAACCCAATTTATTTTACTGAAAAAAAAATTTTTGTTTTGTTTTTTTCATACTTGAATGTTGGGGTAAGAGGTGGGAACACCAGGAATCATGCAGGACTCATGAGAATTGTTTATTTTATGGCACTGTCCACACGACATAGGATGTTGGCATCCCTGGCTCCCTCTAAGTGTTAACAGTTTATGTTCCAACATCTTAACAAACAAAAATGCCCCCCCACACATACACACATACACACTTCTAAAATGCCCCACCCCACATTCCAGTCCCACCACCCTCCCCATCCCAGTTAAGACTTAGTTTAGAGGGAAAGACGACAGGCACGGAAAGAACCACAGGAGATGTGCTGCTTTGCAGTTGGTGGGTGTGGAATCAGATTTCGGTAAGAAATGTGTGCTGAACAGATCTCACATGATGGGGGCTTCTACATGTATTCATTCTATTATCTCACCTAAGACCCTTTCTTCTCCTTTGAAGATCAAGGACTGTAACATCAGACAGCCAGGAAGGAGGTTGAGAGTTTACTCACTCACTCATGCAGTTGCTCTTTCATTTGATGGATATTCCCTGAATCCCCGCCTACTGTGTGTCAAGCAAACCCTATGCCTGCCGCCTGGTCATATACTGTTGACAAAATCAGATTTTGTTCCTGCCCATGTGAGAGGCTTGCAAAGTCGTTAAAGTGAGTGCTTGGGAAGATAGGAAACTAGGAGAAGCATCATTTAAGAAAGGGTGAGAAAAGGCAATGATAGGAGAGGCCGGCACTAAGAGGTACACACTCCAATTCAATAACATCTTAGAGAAAGAAAAGCAAACCGGAAGGGTTCTGGGAAGGCATGCAGACTCATGAGCAGGAAGGGCTGGCAACAGGAATGGGCGGGAATAAGGAATGGAACAGAGAAAGGGACACAGTGGAGACCAGGAAAGGGCAGGTGCAAGAGAAAGAACACAGTGAAGAGGCTGTTCCTGCAGGCATGCATCTTTAAATTGTACCCTGTGTTTTGCCCTATCAGCAAGCACCACCCTCCTCTCTCCCCTATAGCAAATTCTTCCCTTCCCTGGATGAATGAGCAGGTAGAGAAGCAGCTTACCCACTGGCCTCAGCAAACCCTTCCTAGCTCAGAGAGCAGTGCAGCCAAGGTGACGCAAGCTTCTGAGGAGCTGCAGTGAGACTGTGGGGGTGCTGGGGTTGAGTGCCTAGTATGCCCCTACTATAGCGACTGAGCAGCACCCAGTGTTCATCTTGCCAGACAACTAGGCAGTCTCAAAACTGGAGGTGGGTGGGCAAACATCATGATGACTGTGTATTATGCCAGATTTTTCAAAGACAGTCCCAACTCCTCCCATATGTGCTATTTTCCTCATAGCCATTCTGCATACCAGATAATAACTAAAGTTGCTATCAGACTATAGAAAAACTAGAATTTTCTCATCTGTTACATAGAAATATGCCTCAGTTAACTGCATCAGTAAGATGGGTATTTTTATAAGTACTTACCTCATAGGATCCTTATGAATATTAAATGAGTTAATACAGATAAAGAGATTGTACTATACCTGGCATAGAATAAGTATTCAGTAAATGGTAGGTAATAAATGGTAGTTAATAAATATAGTACTAAAGTAACTATAGTATTATAGTTATTGTTGTTATCTATCGTTCAAGCAGGTGTCATACTAGGTACCAAAGAGAAAGAAGTTCAATATGCCTGCCCTAAGACAAGAGAACAGTATGAATATTGGGCCTGGTGTATGAATATTTGATCTAGTGTCTCAAAGATGGGAGTTATCTGATATGTGGAAAAGCTATTTACTGTATAGGCAGATGTACTGCACTAAAAAGTGCTCCTTAGACACAAAATTAAACCTGAGAGTGGATGTGATATTCCCGAGAGATGAAGCAAAAAGTGGGGGAGGCCTCAATCTCTTATGATGAGTATTTCCCCCAATAAATAATAAATGTTTGTGGGTGTTCCTCTGACTCAAAAGTACCACCAAGGTCTCCAGGGAGATGCTCACTGCCCAGAATCTCTACTATATAATTTCATGGCCTCCCAGAGCTCCCTTCTGGATGGACTATTCCTGTGTGTTCAAAACATGTATAGAAAAGGGACAGATGAACTAGTAGAACTGCTACCTGCTCCAGTGGTCAGGAAAGCCTTAGATCCTCATACTCTCCCCAACTCCTGAGTTTTTCATTGAAAACTAGCCCTCCAAGTGCTTATCAAATGTGAGATAAATTTAATGGATTTTCAAGTCTTTTGAAGCAGCCTGTTTTAGCTCATTTTGGGTACTTATACTCCTACTTAGGAACCAGTCTGGTGAATCCAACACAATTTTATTGGTTAAAAGATATGGTGCTAAACCCTAGGGACAAGAAGATGGAGAAGACAGTTCCTGCCCTCAGTGGGTTTATCTTTTTCTGAGACACACAGTTTGTCACATTACACATCACTTTATTAAAGGGAATAATAGGAAACCATGACACAAAGTACCAAAGGAACAGAGACTGAGAATGATGGGGCTTGCTGCTGGCACTAAGGCAGGTGTGGGAAGAAGTATCTTAAGGAACCGACACTGACAGAGAGCCAACCACTACAAAGTCCCTCCCACTCACCAGCTCTTAATTTGAGTGGTACAGTACATGACACAACCACAAGAACCCAGGGTCATGACCCACTACCACACCTCCTCCACTTGAAGTAGATCCCTGGTTGAATGTGCTGCTATATGCAACTCCATACCTGTGGATCTGATATTCCTTAAGCCTCCAGATAGAAGTGCTGGCTGAGGTTCTGTGGAACAGACACTTATTTATAGTTTGTGTCAGGATTATGTTATCTCTCACCTCCTATTATAATATAGCCTGGGAGAGCTGGACTTCTTAAATCCCCAAGAGAATATAATACTGATCCAATACACTGATATCAAGCTGATTGGACAGGTTGAGAAAGAGGGGGCTAGTATGTTACAGGTCTCAATAGGATGCATGCACTTCTGAGGATGAGAAATAAACCCTATGAAGAGTCCAAAATAGTACATTTTATTTACTATCTAGCCTTTTATGTGAAGTTTGCTGACCCATTATGGATGCTAAAGAGCACCCTTGTCAACAACTGTCTGCCTATTTTGCTCCTAGGTGCAAAACTGACACCATTAACCACCTCCACAACTTCTTACTGGTGAAGCCCATGGACTGCCCTCCAACCTTGCCTTTTGGGAAGGTAATTATGGCCTCCTGAGTTCTGGCCTCTATAATCCCTGAGGATGCTAACAAGCCCAGTTAGTAACCACCTCCCCTTTCGTCATCCCTGGCCTTTCGTGATGCTGGTGCCCATCTCGCCAGCACATTTTGATGGCTTGGTGAATGACTTGGTCCTGTGTGCCCTCTCACAGGACATATCTTGTGGTGGTGGGTCTTTTGGCCTTACATAATAGAGTCCTTCCAGCATGCCCACTTCCCTCAGCCTCTTTATTACTTCCTATACTGTCTGCTGGAGTGAAGAGAAGGAAGAAAGGTTGGGAGAGAAGTCCCTGAAGCTGCTGAGCACAGCTTCAGTGAAGCCAATGCAAAGTCCTTGAGCCAAAGTCACCCATCAGAGAAGTCCCGTGTCTCTCAGGAGTGAACCATTGGCTAGGAGCAACCTGTAGGAAAGTGTGTTTCAGTGTGAATGCAGACAAACCTCAGAGCACCACAACTGGGCCCTTGGTCAGTTATAGTCCTCATAGTAAGAGATGTGTAAGACATTCTCATGGCCATGATAGGAGCCCAGAACAAAAATTAGAATGGGCGTGACACAGCCTGCTTTAAATCCCAGTTTGCATCATTAATAACAGGTCTGACCTGTAAGTGGCACAAGTTGCTGCTGCTCAAGATGACACCACCTTTGGCTAGAGGGTGAGTCAGCAGGATAAAAGGGCTCCAGGGCAGACAGCAGATGGGCAAGGTGACTCGTATTTACTTCACCTCCTCTCTGCCATTATACTTTCAATTCAGACAGAAAAGGAACATCTGCCGTCATTCAGAAACAATTTATTCCCTGCTCCCCTATTCTAAGATGGTAATTTCACAGAAAATAAATTTGTCTGAGGCCCAGGTTGTAAGGTAAAGGCCAGAAACATCTCACCTGAGATGAGTGCATCTGCCTGGATGTTGCCACTGCACTGAGCAGATGGACTGGTGCCATTATGAAGTGAAAACAGCCCATAAGCCAACGCTCCTGGAGAGGCATGGGGTACAAGGTATCTCATAATGTTAATGCTGGAAGAGTCTTGGGAATCACCTCCTATCTGCATGTTTACCCTAGAGGGAAACTGAATTGCTCAGGGCTCTCTCCAGTGAGAAAACCTGGCTTCAATCCCACTGTGCTCTTGCCCCGAAGCCATAAAGGTACAAAAGAGATGGAACTGAGTCATAGGCTGAAGACCCAGAAATGCAGGCAGCAAGACACCATCGAAGTGCTGGTGTGGTGAAATGTCTCAACACAGACGTAACGGGAATGTCCTGGTCATTCTGGAGTTGCTCCTTTCTCCCAGCAGCGTGGCCTCTCTTCTGTCTATTCCAGCACCATCATCATCCCAAGGCAAGGCTCCCGAACCGCATCTCACCCAGTTCCAGCCCCACTGTTGCTTGTTTCTCCCAGAGAGGTGTGGAGCTTAATGGTCAGTCTAGAATTAAAACTGCATTGCAGGAAAATCAAAGAAGAGCTCTGTGCATTCTTCTCACTAGGCTCTCTCCCGACGGGGACACTCATGCCTCCTCCGCTTCTGTTCTTCCACTTTCATCAGACTGGATTAAGAGAATTGGCAGATGAAATGGTGTATCCATATAATTCCCTATCATTGGTATGGTTTTATTAAAAATTTAAGGTAAAGTTGTAATAAAATATATCTATAAGAAAAAACTGGATTACATAAATGCCAAATAAGGAATAGCTTCGGGTTTTTTCCGGAATGAAATTCTAACTCCACCACTTGAGCTGTGTGATCTAGGCAGTTACTCAGACTCAATGTGTCTCGGCTGTCCTCATCTGTAAATGTCTTTATCTGTAAAATGGTGAAGATGTTATGGTGAAAACCTCCCAAAGTTGCTGTTATAAAATAACATGTGTAAAGCACCTGGCATAAAACAGATGCTCAACTGAGTGAGGGCTTCGAATTTTGGATTTAGGAATGAGCCAGAAGTATATCTGGGATTAGAAATCAGCCAGAGATGAGAATAGCCTAAGCAACTGAACAAAATAAGGTGAAAAAAAAACAGCAAGCAATAAGAACAGGCATGTGGCTGGAGAACTGCACCTGGGTGCCGGCCACTGTTATTTCCTTCCTTGAATTCTTGGATTAGCAGGCATGGAAATAAATAAACTCCTAAGTAGCATCCTTATTATTAAATTAGATAATGCATATTAAAACACTTTGAAAAAATGGAACATGCTAGAGCAACCTAAAAGACAATAATGTTAGAAGCTTATAGTTGCAGTATATAGAGAGATTTGTTAAGTTTATCTCGTAAGTGGGGGGATGAAGAGTAGGAGGATGGTATTGTGAAATACCTGTGGAAAATAGGAATCTTGGTCCAGTAATCAATTCCCATAGGAACCTAAGAATAGCTTCCAGCTCACAGAGCCTTCTACAGGGAAATTACTCAGGATCTAAGGCATCTTGAGGACCTGATGACTGTTCTTCCCTTTTGGAAGTAGAAGATCATGGAACCCTGCTCCTCCCCACTTAACACACAGATGTTCTCTGTGCGCTTCTTGTGTCTTGTCATAACTCCTTCAATTACCGAAGGGCTGATTCTCTCTGAGTATTCTAATACACATGCCCAAGGCAGAAATTGACAAAGTCAATGAGAGTCCTTATAGTCCCTATCTAGGCAGAGTTTTTCTCACCAGGCTATTTTTTTTACCAATTAGACCATGGGTTGGCTGCCCTTGGGCCAGGTGAGACCCAATGTGGAGGGGCAGGTGAATAAAAACACACAATTCCTAGGGCCTTTGCCCACAGTAAAATCTTCGGCCTATAATATTTTTCTTAGAACAAGACTGAACACGGTTAATGATGACAGATTACATGATTGCAGAAGGAAAAAAAACATTAAAAACCTCAAGCCCAATATCCAACTAAGACTCAAAAAGTTCGAAAAATGTAGTTTAAAATCTTATCAAATGTTCCATACAGATCATTTTCAAATATCTCACTGTTTAAATGAAAGTTCAGACCGTACAGAAAATCTTAAAAAAGATTTACTGACTTACCTTAAAAATTATAGTAGTTAAAAATGCTTAGGTCAAACTTCAGCAAACTAATTTGAGACTATACTAAAATCTGTAGAACTAGGGGAGCAAAAAGTACCACAAGATGGCAGCATTGTCCCATCTGTGCTTTATCAGGTTGTAAGACTAAGATGTGCTCACCAGTTGAGCCTGCTCTAAAATTGTCCGCACCTTCCTTAAAGTTACTGTATTTTTAAAACCGAACAGCACCTAGTTGACAAAGCAGGTAAAAATCTAAATGGCAGATAGGCTATCAATTTTTCTACAGTCCAGTACTTTCATCATCTCTGAGGTCATTTGATTCCCAAGATCTTGGGACTGGCTATCATTATTATTTTTTCATCTAATTGAATATGCAATTAAGCATGGAAGCAGTGGTTTGGATTATCCAAGGATTACAAGCTCCTAAACCATGTTTGAATTGCAGAAATTTAATCTTATTATGGTAGTATTCCTTATTTGGCATTTATGTAATCCAGTTCTTTATTATAGTTATTTTTAATATCTGTATATCTCTTTTTGGTTCAATTTAATCTCAACTGTGATGATTAATTTTATGTGGCAACTTGGCTAGACCATGGTACCTAGATATTTGGTCAAAATACCAATCTAGGTGTTTCTGTGAAGGTATTTTTTTAGATTAGACTAACATTTAAATCAGTAGACTTTCAGTAAAGATTACCATCTAACTCTCCATAATGTGGGTGGAGCTCAATCAATCAGTTGAAAGCCTTAAAAGAAAAAGACTGAGGTCCCCTGAGGAAGAGGGAATTCTGCCTCGAGACTGCCTTTGAACTCAAGCTGCAACATCCACTCTTCCCTGGGGCTCTAGCCTGCCAGCCTGCCAGCCTTCCCTGAAGATTTCGGAATTGTCGGCCCTCACGATCATGTGAACCAATTGCTTAAAATGAACCAACCAATCTCTCTCCTTTTCTCCCTCCCTCTCTCTGCTTTTTAAACTAGTCATAATTGTCTCTCTTGACTACTTCTTTCACTCTTAATGGCTCTGTAATAAACCTAGTCTCACCCAAATGCTAACCTGAGCACTACACAGGCATCTGGCTTAATACAAGCAAAAGAACTAAAACAGTATGAATAAGCTAGCCAACAGAACAAATCTTAAATATCTGATTAATCTGTACAAAAATATTTGAACAAATATACAATATAGGAATTATCTTCATCCAAAAGGAAAACCTAGAAACTAAGTAACTTTTAATATGTGCACAGTGAATTTAGAGGTTTAATCATTATGAATCACTGCTTTAGAAGAAATTATATATATGATGAATCTAATAAAATCTATAGACTAATCCTGAGAAACAGATACATACAAAATTCTGTGACGAATTTATGAGAGTTCATGTCTCCTCCAAAGGTCATCTAGAAAAGTCCCTCTCCCAGGGAGTCCAAGGACTCTGAGGTTAAAAAATATAACAAACCTCACCTCAAACATTCTGTTATTTATAGGTTAAACATGCAGAAATCCTCATGAAGCACTTTCTACCAAACCACTAAAAGTAGTGGCTATTATCTGTATTCTCAAGTAGTGAACGATTTCATGAATTTGGGTTATTTCAACTAGAATCTTTTCACAATATTTTCTTTCACTTTTCTGAAAAAAGATTTCATGAGTGGACCAGTCATTTTGTGACACAATCTACAGAGAACCAGTCATTTTGTGACACAATCTACCTTGAGAGGAAGGTGACAGGAAAGGAAAGCAAAGTGGAATGTTTGAAATAATGTCCATAAAGGGAAGTAAACAATAGTGCTTGATCGATGACTTCGATAACTTGGAGGCATTTTTTTAATTAAACGTGTAAAAAGTAGTCCTCAATTTACAAGCTCAAAATCAGACAAATGTATAAGGATGTATAGCTGGCATGTTTACAAACTGTATCCACCCAAACACTCACAGAGGACACAATCCATGTTATATTCCACAGCAGCATATCTACATATTTCCTACCAAGTAAATACAAAATTAACTCCCATCATTTTAGTTCATTACATATGTGATATAGTGTCAAAACAAATGCAATTTTTTTCACCTAAAATATCAAAGGCAATATTTTTTCGACCCAAGTACAAATTCATTATTTTGTGCAAAAATACAGTAAGACTAATTATAAGGGTTATGTTCAGGTTTAGTCAGTAAGGTATGTTTCTGTGCTACTAAAATACAACTAAAGTTTTAGATTTCAATTACCAAGGTAACCATTTCTGATTTACAATTGACCTAAAAATAGTGAATGCTAATATATATAGTCTTGACATTTAGAAAAAAAATCTTCAAAATTTAAATATAATTCTAAAAGTATATGTGCCTTGCCATTCATTCAATAAACATGATTTATTTTAATACAAGTCACAAAAGCTCAATTAATAGGAATTTTCTATATCTTTCCTGCCTCCTATCTATTTTAGTCTTAAATCTGACTTTATATAAAAAGCAGCAGTTCAGAATTTATTTTATAAGATTAATCCCAAAAGTTCTGAGTAGCTTTTAAACTATTCATTACTTATAAATATAAATCACTAGATAGTCTGAACCAGTGTTAGTAGTTCCTTGCATCAGAATGACCTGGGGAGCACTTTAAAATTTGCATGGGACCCACCTCAGAAGTACTAAATAACAATCTTCCTGAATGTCTGCTTTTGTTTTAAGTTCCCATGCGATAATGATATGCAGCCTCTTTGGGAACCTCTGACCTACACCACTAGACAGCGGTTCTCAGCTTCTAAGGTGCATCAGAATCAGTTGCGGAAAATTTAAAAAAAAAAAAAAAAAAGCCAAACAGATTTGCTTTAGTAGATAGAGTGGTGTCCAGGAACTAGCATTTAAACAACCATTGCAGTTAATTCACAAATCACTCTGAGAAACAATGCACAGCCTTTGTCAGGTTATGAGTACATTCAGTAATTTAGGTGACATTGCCCTGCAAGCCCTAATGAATCCTGCCCTAGGCAGTGTTAACTAGTATTTAAGAGTAATATGTAGCCTTCCAAAATAAAATACATATTCTTAAATATATGGTCAAAGTCAAGTAAATTGTGAGATCATAATTCATTCATTAAAGAAAGGAAAGGCTTTCAAACAAACAATTTAAACCTTTAAACAGACTAGTTCTTATCATTCAATTTAAATCTAATGCCCTCTCCATCATTAATTAGCCCAATAAGTGATCAGAGGTAGTAAGGCCAGCTTACCCAAAATGTAATGCAGATTATAAAAGATACACCTTCTAATTACATATCTTTATAGGTTCTGTACAATTTCTATGTAATAGAGATTGGAGATAAGTTGGATATTAAATAATACTAAAACAGTGAATAATACACTCTCAATTTTAAACAACAAAACTTCATATTTCCCTCGCATAAGTTTCTACTTATTAGGGAGAAAGAATCTAGAAAACACTAAAGGTATCATGCTGCTTCTTTTGTGAAGAAGCTATTCACTAATATTCCACAATCTGTCATTATCTATAAAATAGGTAGCTGGTATGTATCATTTACTTTAAGGACTTTTTAAAAGCACAGAAAAAAAATAACCACAGGTAATGCCACACAGCAAATCAGAGAGAAATAGCAGTTAGACCTTCCATTTGGAAAGCTGAGCTCACTATCTTATCAACTTGACAACTGTATCTCAGTGTGTGATAACTCTTACTAAGTATTATAAATATTTAAGCACATTTGAGTGTGTGGAAGCTCTACCACCACCTCTGCCAAACTTGAAGAATAAATATAATGTACTATGAAGCCAGAAGCTACATAAGAACTAAATAGCAACAACAACACTAGGATGAAGAAAGCGTGTGTGGTTAGTGGAATCTATCCGGCATCTTCTTCACCCTCGCCTTTGTGTTAATGCTATTATTTCTTGTGTACACACTTTTCTATATTCTTCACAAAGGATTATTCCACCTTTTTTCCATGGCATAATTCAACAGATTTCTTCTTAATCAAGCAATGAAAAGGCAACTGCCAAAAACCAGCACTGTACTGCCAGAAAGGCAAGTCATTTCATAAAATAAAAAACCAAAACTTTTAAATCCAAGTAAATTAAATCTAAAAACTCCATACTAACTTTTAACCATTTAGAGTCTGGACTATTAAAATAATCAAACCATTTACCAGTTTATAAATGATTCAAGGCCAAAATAATAAATTTTCAAATTAAGAAAAACAAGTTGAAAAGTTACATATAAATAACCAAACCAAGTGACAGTAGGTCTTTTACTTAGGGGAAAAAAATCTTCTTGAATGGCTAAAATGAAGATATAGAGACAGCATTACTGGGGAAAGGATTTCAAAACAAGACACAATGTATACATATAAGGCACTACCTTAACTTCAGCCCACACTTAGGTCATCTTAGATCCAAAGACTATGGGACAGGGGAAGGGAAGAACACACAAACACATTCAACTTTTCATGTCCTTTTAGCTGGTTTGGCAGTTAACTGCTTTTCTCTTTCAAATTCCTTCTCTCGTTGCTGCTCCCTTTCCAACTCTTCTTTTTGTCTCTTCTGCTGCAGTTTAAGTGCTCTTTTCTATGTCAAAAAATTCAAAAACCAAGAGAACAATCAAGGCTTATAAATTATGACCTAATTTAAAAGTAATAGTGCTTTGAGTTGAGGTAATCAATACTTATTAATAAATTTCATATGTAACTTTTAAATTCATTCTGGGTAATTTAAGGTCCCTTTGATACAAAAATATTTGTTACTCCAAATTCTTATTAAATGAAAATTGCAGTGACATAGTCAGAGAATATGAGCTGACTAGCCTAGCTATTAGTAGAAAGCACAGAGAAGGCTCAAAAAAGTATACTTTAAAAGAAAACAATGTACTATGAACTAAGTATGTTATTTTATATGGAAATATAAGAAGCCAGAAAATGAATACTAAAGAAAAATGGACATTCGAATCTCTACTTTTACAAAGAATGTGAAAGAATTCTCAACTCACTTTTAACTTTGATGTCTTTTCATGAAGCATCAGCATGTCTTTTCTTATATTCACCAACTTGGCATGATAGTGTTTAGCTTCAGTGAACTTAACATGGAAAAATAAATGCAAAATCCAGTTAAAATAGACTGAAATATCAAAATGGATAAGTAAATCAATGTTTAAATTACAGTTCATTCTTCCTAAAATGGGCGAATTTTTAAAAACCTTAATTATATCCACATTTTAATTCCAAAATTTAAATTTTACTTAAACCATTAGTAGGATTGAAAAACAATTGATTCAGTTCAGATTGATAAAAAGTTGCTAAACATAAAACAGACATTTATATTGTATAGAGATTACATTTTGTTTTAAATGTAATACAATCCTAAAATTTCAGTAAGACTTTCTAAAATACTACCAGTTTCATCTGAGAAAAGTAAAACACTCTCTACTGTCTTTACAAAGGAGAGATGGAGCCAAGAATACACAGGACAGTTTAAGTGTCTGCCCATCAAGAAAAGCCAAGCTGTATCTACAAAGCCTGAGAGGGCTGTGGGCTCCTGAAGCCAGATCAAGCAGAACGATCTCTGTAAGGACACTTTCCTTCCCAAGGAGTGATAAGTACAGACTTTCCATCTCAGCCAGAGATGGCAGAGAAGGAAAAAAAACACCGCATTCGCAAGCAAGATAACAGAAAAAGACGACCAGGTAACAAAAATGAGAGAAATATCAGTAGAGAGATGAGCAACCTTCAGGCAGCGATATATGTAAAGTCATAGTCTGATAAGCTCTAGAGCTTACAGACCCTCTTTCTCTCCAAACCTTCCAATTTTCAGTTCCTAAATAACAATCAAAACCACTCTTGGGCTGAGAGAAGGAAAAAGAGGAAGAGACTTCATTTCTGCTCCTTCAGACTGAAGCAATAGTATTACATCTGCTTGGTTCATTTATTTATCATTCATTCATCAAATATTCTTTCTCTTGCTACAAGAACTCAGGAAAGACAAAAGTAGGTCAGCGTAGCCCTGCCCATCTCTTTCACAAGAAGTGAGGAACTACTGAGTAGAAGATTTTGCATTTACTACCACAGGCCTCTGCCTAATGCTAGAGAAGATGGACATTCTTTTTGATTGCTATAAAAGGAAACATTCCACAAAATCATGCGAACCAAGCTATCTGTAACATTCAAGATGAAGAGAAAGGTAGCCCTAGCTTCCTTTTTTGTTAATTCCTGTTTCTTAAAATAAAGAGTATCGGTTCCTTTCATCAAAAAGCTACAGAGCTTCTGATAAAATTCAACTATTGTCATTTATATTGAAAGATATAAAGAGGCCGTAAAGGACCTTCAAAGGGTCCATTTCATCGTTAATTTATTACGGCATTATGAAAATGCCATACAATTAAATAAAATGCAAATTTAAAAAGTCATGTAATTGATAAAAGGATATACAGTTTCCTTAAGGGGAAAAACAGTACCCCAAAAAGTTCCTTACTTTTAGTTCTCTTTTATAAAAAGTCAATAATTACGAGATCTATCCCAGACTTTCATAAGTAAGTTCTATTTCTTATCACAAGTTCAACACCTGAAATATAACAATTCAAGACAATGAAAATTTCAGTAAAGTAAATCAAGGTTTCCTGTTTAAAGACGAAGTCTAAACTTTAAAAATTAGAGGAAAAGATCCCAGACATACATAAGTCCAAAGTTGGGAGGATAAACCTACCTATTTCCAAAACAAGATGTCATCAAGCTATGTCAACTAAATCATACTTACCAAAGCATTAATATCCAACATAGAATGACATTCTTTAAATTTTGAAATCTCTTGTTCCAGTGTGTCTAATAATACAACTTGGTTCTGCCTGAAACAAAAGCATACGGCCACAATAAACTTTATATACTGTAAGTGCTGGTTCATTAAAAGGAATCACATTCATCTTTGTTAATGTTAAAGGTAGAAATTAAGCTAGAAATTTGTTAACTCTTCAAAGCTTATTTGGTCTAGTAAAATATTTTTCAAAATAATACTCCAAACCCACATTCTAATAACCAAATGTGTCTTTTATTCTTGCCTCAATTTTAGGTTCTAATAACTAAACCCACCAAAGTATTTAAAATTATTTTATTACTTGTTATTTCAGGCAATTCTCTACATTATCCCATAAGAGTTTTTTACACTGTCTTATCCAAGAAACTTGATGTTTTATATGTATTAAAATTACAACATTACCACAAAGGAAATGAGGAACAATGACTTGTTAGAGTTGGGGGAAATACAATATCAAGGGATAATAAGTATAAAGGAATAATTAAGATGAAAAAACAGGACTAGGAATCACAAAATTCACCTGCCAATAACCAATTGGGTGATCTTGGAAATTTTTATATCTCTGGGCAAGAATTTCTTCATTTACAAAGCGAGAAGGTCAGACCAGGTAACTTCTAAGATTCCTCATTAAAATTGATTCAAAATCTTCTGTTTTCGAAGAACAGAAGCTAATCTAGTATTTCTCTCCAGATCAACCAATGCCAGGATCACAGGAATAAGTGACACTGAGGGGTCACCCAATGAAATATTTTAAAAATAACTACAAAGAAAATTATGACATGATTTGTTTGTGAAACTACACTAAACAGAGAACAGTGATGAAAAAAGAAATAGCAATGAAGAAACTAAAGGGCAGTTACACCTCCACCACCTAGCACTAATAGGACACACCCCAGAGGTCACAAGTTTGTCCTTTCAGCTCTGACTAGACTACAGAAGGTAAGATACAGAATGGATGAAAGGAGACCACAGCATATCAATAATCTAAGATAAGTGAGACAGCAAAACAGGCTATTACAACTGGAAAAAGATAAGAGAAAAATTAACGAAACCAAAAATTGGTTCTTCAAAAGATCAATAAAATTGATAAACCTCTACCTAGACGAACAAAGAAAACGAGAGAAGACATAAATTACTAACATAATTTATGGAAGAGAAGTCATTGCTACTGATCCCATGGACATTAAAGGATAATAAAGGAATAATTTCAACAACTCTATGTCCACAAATTTGATAACCTAATGATGTAAATGACTAATTTCTTGAAAGACACAAACTACCAAAACTCACACAAGGAGAAACAGATAAGCTAAGTAGGCCTATATTTACTAAAGAAATTGAATCGCTAAGTAATAACTTCCCCGAAATCAAAGTACCAGGACCAGTTGGTGTCACTGGTGAATTCCACCAAACATTTAAAGAAGAAATCATACTAATTCTCCACAATCTCTCTCAGAAAAAAAGAAGTAGAGGAAGCACTTCCTAATTCATTCTGAGGCCAACATTACCCTAAAGGCAAAATCAGATAACGACATTACAAGAAAGGAAAACTATAGACCATTACCTTTCATAAACATAGATGTAGAAATCATCAACAAAACATTAACAAACCAAATCCAACAATGTATAAAAATTATATAGCACAACCAAGTGGGATTTATTCCAAGTATGCTAAACTGGTTCAACATTAGAAAATGTAATCCACCACATCAACTATCTAAAGAAGAAAAACCATATGGTCCTATCGGTTGACAGAAAAGTATTTGACAAAGTCCAACACTTGTTCATAATTAAAACACTCTCAACAAATTAGGAAGAGAGGGTAACTTCCTCAACTTGAAAAAGAGTGAATAAAAAAAAAGCCTACATCTAACATCACACTTGTGAAAAATTAGAAGATCAGAAACAAGGAAAGGAAGAAATTAAACTGTCTTTGTTCACAAATGACATGACTGCCTACGTGTAAAATCCCAAAGAATCAACAAAAAAATCCTCCTGAAACTGGTATGTGAATATAGCAAAGTTTCAAGATAGAAAGTTAATAAACAAGTCAGTTGCTTTCCTGTACACCAGCAGTAAACAATAATCCCCCTCAAATGAAATACGCTGGTATAAATCTAACAAAATATGTACATGATCTATATGCAAAAACCCTTTCCAGATTGGTTTAAAAAAAGATCTAAATAATGAAGAGCTACTTCAAGTACATAGAATAAAAGACTCAATGTTGTTAAGGTATTAATTCTTCCCAACCTGACCTATAGATTCCATGTAATCCCAATTTAAATCCTAACAAGTTATTTTGTAGATATCGACAAATGAATTCTAAAATTCACATGGAAAGGCAAAGACCTAGAATAGCCAACACATACCGAAGAACAAAGTTGGAAGACTTAGCTACCCAATTTCAAGATTTATTATAAAACTATAGAAATCAAGACGGCATGGTGTTGGTGAAAGAAGACACACATTGATCAATGGAACAGTATAGAACAGTATAGAAATAGACTTACACAAATATAATCAACTACTCTTTGATAAAACAGCAAAGGCGATGCAGTGGAGAAAGGACAGTCCTTTCAACAAATGGTGAGGGAACAACTGGACATTCGTGTACAAAGAAATTAACCTAAACACAGACCTTACACCTTTCATAAGAATGAACTCCAAACGGATCATAGATCTAAAAGTGAAATGTAAAACTCTAAAACTTCTAGAGAAAAACACAAGAGAAAATCTAGGTAACCTTGGTTTGGTGATGAATTTTTACATGCAATACCAAAAGCATGCTCCATTAGAGAAAAGAGTGATCAAGTCAGATTTTTAATTTATTAAAAACTGCTCTGCAAAAGACATTGTTAAGAGAATGAAAAGACAAGCCACACACTTGGAGAAAATATCTGCAAAACACATAAAGGACTTGTATCCAAAATATACAGAGAATTCTTAAAATGCAACGATAAGAAAATAAACAACCCCATTGAAAAAAGGGCAAAAGATCTGAATAGATATCTGTCGTATAATCATGAATTTGTCTGATCTTTGTCCCAGGTTCTTGGCATGTCAATTTTCAGACTTTCAGACTTTCCCAAATGATACAAGTATCTTTGTTAATCATGAGCCCCTTGGATCACATCTGAGTTTATACTAATAAGGTATAAACATCTAGGGCCTCAGAAAGGGAGCTGGTCATGCCAGAACGATCGACCATGTGGTCAGAGGATTGGGGCTTTGAGCCATGTGATAACAGCCTATCCTCCAGAGAAGGGAGGGCGGGCAAGAGACTGAGTTCATTTACGTGGCCAATGAGTCAATCAATTATGCCTACATAATGAAACCCTAATAAAATCTCTGGACACCAAAGCTGAGGAGAGCTTCTTGGTTGGTGAACACATCAATGTGCTGGGAGGGTGATGCACCTTAATTTCATTAGAAGAGGGCACAGAAGCTCAAAGCTCTGTTTGGGGTGCTCTCATGCCTTGCCCTATTGTGTCTGTCATTTGGCTGGTTTTGATCTGTATCTTTTTTAATAAAATTGTAATTGTAAGTATAGTGCTTTCATGATCCATAAGTCTAGATGCTCTAGAAAAAGATTTTGGAGAATATTTAGCTACAATATAATGGAGCAAAAATGACCGAACTTCCTTTCCCCTGAAGTTTTGTATAATCTTTGGTAAGTATGCTAGTGGTGATTGTAAAGCCCTTACGTAGTACCTAAGGAATGATCCTCTGAGAAAAAAGCTATTTCCAAGCCTATATTATTTATCTCAAAGGGAGCTCCACTGAGATTACTCACAACTGCACCACCCCAGCTACTTTTAGGGACTTGAATCCTAGACTCTCTTTATCTTTCTTTTAAATGTTCTTAAAATGATAAATACATATAAAAAAAAGTTCACAACCCTTCTTTTATATAAAGCTAAATTTTGTTCTTGGTCTTCCTTACCCATTGCTAGCTACAAAGTAAACCTAATTTCTGTCTACTACTACCTTCTCCTCCACCTCTGTAGGCCTATTTCTTTAATGGCAAAGTGGCTTAATAAAAATTAAACTGTTTGATGACAGAGCCAAGACCAGGACCCAGGTGCCTCTCAGTCCAGTTCTCTTTCTCCTGCATTTTTATCAATAGGGAAATTTATGGAGACATAAAAGAGGCAGTTAATAAAAAAAATTTTTTTTCTTTCTCTGAAATTTACTTATCTTTCCTTAACACTAAAGAAGTGTAATAACTGATTATTCATCCTATTTGATTGCTACCACTAATTCTACTACTACTTGTGTAATCTTTTCAAGTTACTTCTCTGAACCTGTTTCCTCAAATGTAAACAAGGATAATATCAGAAACTTCGTAAAGTTAATCTTAGGATTAACTGAGATACAGTATATAAAGTGGTGGGCATGTAGTACATATAGTAATAAATAGTAGCTGATTTTACTGTCAGCATCATCATTATCTGGGTGCCTAGGAAGATAAGTGGGGTTATTCAAAACACTTAAATTTTAGCCAATGGCCTCATCAACTAAACTCTGCAATTAAACCTTGACTTCCTATAAGTAAAGTGTAGCCAAATACGTTTTACTTGCAGAATTTCTTACCTTCCTTCAGCCTATTGTACATCATCCAAATGGCCCCACAAAAGTTTTATGACTTTCTTTGCCATAAGGAGTGACTGGTGTTAAAATACAAGGCATATCACACACTAGGCGATGAAACATCTCACTTGGAACTAGCCGAAAATCAAGAATGTTGCCAACTCTCTAATTATGCTAGTGTACCACATTTAGTAGACACAGTACTACTTTTATACTAATTTATCACCTTCAAATCCAAAGATTATAACATTACTTCTAATATTTATTAAGTGGAAATAGTTGTTATTATTCCTGTTGATTATTTTGCCCTAACAAAGTCTTTTGGGATAGTTTTCAAAGGGTATACCTTAGAGTCGCAGCAGTTCATAGCCAGCTTAAAGCTGACTATCACAAAAAGAAATGATAGGCCAGCTTGAGAAATTCAGAAAGGTCCTAACCCAGAAGGAAGAAGCTCAATCTGTTGTTTCTAGGTGAGAGGTGACAAAGTCAAGTGTATGTCTACATACGGATCCCACTCTATGGGTCTCATTCTTCCTTATCTTGTTCTTCTCCTAACATATCTTCTAATCTTTTGCTTAGCTAGTAGAGTTATCTACTAAAAATGAAATAGACCATTTCCAAAAAAAGATACCTAAGAATTTCTGGCAATTCATGTGAATCAGTGATTGAATACAAATGTGACTCTATGGCAATTTTGCAACTCTACGGCAATTTTGCAACTCTACTCAGAAATAGGTGTATACCCATCCTACAACATTCTCAATAGGCAAGACTTTCATAAAATAATGGTAGAAGTCCAAAACTAACCAAAGAGTCCAAATGAAATTTAGGGCTACTTCTTAGAAGCCAAACACTCTGGGAATATTCATTTCACTTTTTCTGTTTAGACTACTGTGAACTCTTCTGCTCCCATTTTCTGTCACTGACTATATAGAAATACTCAACTGTATGAAATGTTACAAAATATTATACAGTATATACTTATACAGTAAATGATGACTATGTCAGAAGGGAAGTGAGTGCATCTGTGGTTTTTGTTAGCTCACGTGAGTTCCTGGAGGGCTTGTTTTGATCTCTGCAGATCTGGAAGGTAGTGAGAAAGCAATCCTTCTGCCAGTTGCTCCACAGCTTTGTCTTCAACAGTCAAGTCCTCTATTAACCCTTCATCTGGAGAAGTGTCACTTAAACCTATCCCCAAGCAAAAATCAAATTTAGGAAGCTTTTAAACTGACACAGGGATAAGAGAGTAGTAGAGAGGCAGGGAAGGAGGCTGGCAGTGGGGTTCAGGGTACATATAACGGGGTAGTACAGGTATTCTTTCTCTTTTTAACTTTTACCTTCTGAGCACACTCTAAAAAATGGATTATAAGCGTTCAAAGTGTGTTTTAATGCTACTTGTATAAGGTTAAAAGAACAATAATGTATGCAAAATTCTGTTTATGTATTTTTCATGGCAGAAGATTTATAGTTTTCAATAGATTATTAAAGGAGTCTGAGGCAGAAAAGTGGAAAACAATCACTGAATGAGAGAAATTCTTCTTTTCAAAAGCATGAAAGAATTTAAACACAATGCCTAAAAGTTTTTTTTTCATTTCTAAGGAAGTAAAAATGTGGGTCAATATTTATTTTGCACATAGCTTGATATATTATTTACATATAAAAGGGGGTTGTTTTGTCATTTATTAGGAGATATTCTAAGAATTTCTTCTCTCTTGAGATTCAGAACCTTAATTTACCATAGAAAATCATGTACAATAATTGTCATGTGTGTAAATTTAGATGTGATGCCAGGAACTACGCCTCGAACTTTTCCTTTGAATAAAAGCAGTGTGCCAGTCATTAGAAATGTCTAAAAAATACCCATCAACTACTACCTAAAAAGTACAAAACAATTTCTAAATAGGGTTCGATGACTGGTTTGTAAGATTTTAGAATCACTGATTTAGAATGAGAAAAAAAATGAGATGGGCATATTACTAAAATTGTACTCTAAAATCATTTTAAAACTAATATTAAACTCTAAATAAAACATCTCTCTTTAATCATAATCTGGCACCAGTAATAGGATCCGACATCTTTTATTTATGTACATGCTGTAAGTGCAGTTAGTGCAAAACAACGTCAATGTATCCAGCAAGCAGATGGAAGAGCAAGTGGAGAGGGACTCAAGTTGCACACATACACAAGGAAGTCATATTTATAGAGGCAACTTATCAAAGTGTGAAAAGGAGATCACTGAGGAAGAGCATGACCAAGAAAGGGCTGAGAGCACTAGCTGTATATAATCCCTATATTTCTGGGACAGAAGGAAAAGAAAAGGCACCTCCAAAGCTTTGCAGCCTTTCTCATCTAGAGTTCCTCATCTGAAACACAGAACACGAAACTGCTCGTGAGTGACTATTTCCTCAATTCTCCCAAAGACGGTACAGATATAGTACCATTCCAGATGCACAGAAAGTCAGTATATTCAATGGATGCCTTCATTAGGGCTTACTTCTCTCTTGGAAGGCGGGTAGAGAAAGAATGCTGGACGAACAGGGATGCAGTAATGTCAACAAGCAAAGCAGAACATGCATGAGTGAGTGGTTAATAATACTGGATACATCAAGTCTCTCTCTGAATTACAAAACGGTCATCCTTCAGATTTATCCTCAACCACTAATGTATAACAAATAGCCAACATGTTGCAATCACGTAAACGCAGAATGACTTCATCAACCACTTCCAACTGCACCCGAACACCGCTTCCCCCTCCAGACCTCATTTCCCGCCCATGCAGCTGGACTGGAGGGCCCGCAGTTAGTCACTTCCGCGCTGGAGCCAAAGCCTCTGGTGAGCTGCTGCATGCCCAAAGGAGCAACTCCCGCGGGCGGCCCTGGGAGACCCACCCACTCCGTCCTCGCTGCCCCGCCCCATAACACATACCCGGCGTTGGCTCCCTGGCCACTAGGCGGTCCGGTGGCCCTGCCAGGACCCCGTCCGGGGGCGGCGGCTCAGGGACACTCATGTCCTTCCCGCTGAGAACAGGAAAAAGACAGCTGTGTAGGCGGTCAGATGCAGTAAGGAGGGACCAAAAGTGTCCAGCGCTCAGCCGGACAAGCAGCGGTTGCACTCGGAAGTGACGGAAGCGGAAGACTGCGGGCTCCGTGCACGTGACCGCGCGTCTGCACCCGCGGGGGTCCCCGTTTGGCTTCCACCACTCCTAATCCCGGACGCTCCGGGGACTCTTCGCTGACGTCGTAGTAGAGTCCGCTATCCTGGTCTCGCATCCCTGCGACGGATTGTGGGGGTGGGGAGAGAAAAGGGCGGTGACAGGAAGGGGCTTCCCCGGGTGGCTCTCGAAGATGGGAAGAGCTTGTTGAACGTGGGCGAGCAGTTAGGCTTTGTTCACTGAGGCCCTGACCAACTTTTCAACTTTAAGTCCGTCTTAAGGAAACACCTTAAGAACAAGGACTGTGTGCTTTCGCTGCAATTTGGAGCATTAAAAAATTCAGCGTTTAGCTTTCTGTGAGTTTCAACTTCGCTAATTGGGTGGGGTGGCTGGCCAGGATTCTTGTCTCTTGTTGATTGTAGGTGAATAATTTAAGGCCTGGATTGCAGCATTTACTGAACAAATTCAGCCATATTACTAGGAAATGCATTGGTGAGATCCTGTGGGATCTCGTGAATTTTGATGAAAAACACTTAGAAATGGGCAGAATCAGCCTCAGACCAAATAAAACCATCAGCTATGCCCGCTCTACCTTAGACCCTCTCACCTGGACTGTAATAGTGGCATCCTAATTTGCACCCCAAAATTGCCTTTCCAAGCAATTTTCTATGCTTCAGCAAAGCTGTCTTCAAAAAAATGACAATTTTAGTCAAAGCCTCAGAAACTTGTACCTGCTCCCCCACTGCCCTTATCAGTGCATTTATACCCCTTCTTTTGGTCTCCTTTCCTCTCAAGATTAGCTCCTCACTACCTGTGGTAAGTAGAACAATGCCCCCACCCCAAAATATCCAGTCTTAATCCCCCAAGTTTCACTGAAAAGAGTAATTAAGATTGTTAGTCACCTGACCAAAAAATCGATTATCCTGGATTACTGAGTGGGCCCATTATAATCAAAGGGCCTTCAAAACTGGAAAAGGGTGGCAGAAGAGAGTCAGAAGGGAGATAGGACTATAAAGGATGATTAAAGAGTTGCAACATCATTGGCTTTGAAAATATTGGAAGGGGGCCATTGGCCAGGATTATGACCTCTAAAAGCCTGAAAAGACAAGGAAATGGATTCTTCCCTAGAAACTCTAGAATAGAACTCAGCCCTGCTGACACCCTAATTTTAACCCAATGAGACCTACATTGGACTTCTGACCTACAGAACTATAATAAATTTGTATCACTTTAAATTTGTGGTAATTTGTTACCACGGCAATAGGAAAGTAATGGACTACCCTTCAAACATCCTTTGTTCCGTCCAAGAATGGAATGTCTGCAGTGCTCTTGATCATGCTTCAGCCTGGACGTTTCAAAGTCTAATTCATCTTTCAAGGCTTGGCCTAAGTATTACCTTTAATTTAAAATTATTCACAATCTCACCTCCCCTCCATTCCCTGTCAATCACTGACCTTTTTACTCCATAATTTTGCCTTTCCAGAATATCATATATTTGGAATCATACGGTATGTAGCCTTTCCAGATTGGTTTCTTTCACTTAGTAATATGTATTTAAGATTCCTTCGTGTCTTTTCATGGCTCATTTCTTCTTGTCATAGAGTAATATTCTATTGTCTGGAGGTACCACAGTTTATCCTTTCACTATTGAAGGACATCTTAGCTGCTTCCAAATATAGGCAATTCTGAATAAAGCTGCTGTAAACATCCATGTGCAAATTTTTCTGCAGAAATAATTTTCAACTCCTTTGGGTAAATACCAAGGAGCAAGATTGCTGGATCACATGGTAAGAGTAGGTTTAGTCTTTTAAGAAACTACCAAACTATCTTCCAAAGTGGCTGTACCATTTTGCATTCCCACCAACAATGAATGAGAGTTCCTGCTGCTCCACAGCCTCACCAGTATTTGGTGGTGTCAGTGTTCTGGATTTTGACCATTCTAATAGGAGTGTAGTGATATCTCATAAATTCTTAAATTTGATTTCCTGATGACATATGATATAGAACACATTTTTATTTATTTATTTTTATTATGGTGACATTGTTTAACAAAATCCAGTAAGTTTCAGGTGTACAATTCAACAGTTAGACATATATATAGCATTGTTAGAACACATTTTTTCATATGCTTATTTGCCATCTGTATATCTTCTTTGGTGAGATGCCTGTTCAAACCTTTTGTCCATTTTTTAATCAGGTTTGTTTTCTTGTTGAGTTTTAGGAGTTCTTTGTATATTTTAGACAACAGCCTTTTATTAGACATATCTTTTGCAAACATTTTCTCCAATTCTGTGGCTTGTCTTGTGGCTTTAAAAATTCTTGATGGAATTTTTAAAATGAAGACTTGAAGGGAACCTAGAATAGTGTGTCTCCATGAAAAGAAGGCAGATTCTCAATTCTCCCACAAAGACACCTGATCAGTTTTGACATTTATATGTAGGATACCTTTCTGAAGTATGCAGCAGTGGAAATAGCCAAGTATTTGATGTCAAAGACATGTTTCAATGAGAGCTAAAGCATTTATTAGTTAGGATTTTTTGGTTGCAAGTTAATAAGGCCAAACCCACCTAATCAAAACAAGGAATTTACTAACACACTGAACTTAAAATACAAGAGTTGATCTAGCTTCAGGCATAGCAATATCCAATTCCTCAAATGAAATCAGCATGTCTTCCTCTCACTCTCTCTTTGGTTCTCCACTATCTTCTGTATTGGCTTCACTCTAGCAGTGCTCTCTCGTTCTCTCACTCTCTCGCTTGCTTGCTTGCTTGCTCAAGCTCGCGGACTCTCTCTCTCTCAAATAGCTCCAAGTTTTTGTGGTCCTGACAGCTCCTTATTGAAGCCCACTCACTCCTAGAATTCATTTATTTCTATCTCTTTAAAAAATTCAAATTATTTGGATCACATGCCAGCTGTATATCAGTCCTGCATCCAAGGGATATAGAGGGTTCTTATGTGCCAGAGTGGGTCACATGTAACAGAGAGGCAGAGTCCCTTGATTGACAGTCCTGCTAGGAATTATATAAAGGCACAGGGTAGTTCCTTAGAGGAAAATCAGAGTCCTGTTACCAAAAGGATGAAGGATATTGCTCTAACCAAAGCAACAGATGTCAACTATATCAGTTATGAGATTTTAGTCAAGTCACTTATCTCTCTGAGCCACTGTTTTTTTCCATCAGTAAAAGAGGCAGGGAGATGATAATACCAGACCCATTACTTGGCATAGTTCTTGTGAGAACCAAACACTTGATAGCACATAGGAAAAGGATCAATAAACTGTAAAGCACTATTACAAATAATAGCAGCCCCTAACTAAATACTTACTATGTGCCAGAAGAAATATTATTTCTGTTATTAGTGCCTTGGTTACATATAGTCAGTAATTTGATTTTGTTTTGAAGGGGTTCAAAACAAGCTTCCCCAAGATGTGCCACTTTGGCATGTGAATTATTTTGAACTGAAGGCAATTGAGATGACTCATGAGAAACTTTAGTCTCTCCCTTAAAGAATTTATATTACGGGACTTGCACAGAATAAGACTTATCAGCAGATATAACTTTTTATGACCTACCTATCAATAGGGCAAGGAAAACTTCTAATTACTGAACATCTGCTCTTCCTATCATCCTGCAAATGAATCTTCCTTCCCTCCAAAGCCCCAAGGTGCCTTACCTCATCCTTAGCTCAGAATGTTATGTTTGTCTCATTTTCCCTCTCGGTCTCTGAGCCTCTCATGTATGTGGCATTCCCATATGTACATATATAATTAAACTTGGTCATTTCCTCTTGTTAATCTGGCTCATGTTGATTTAATTATTAGAACAGCTGGCAGAACCTAAAAAGGTAGAGGAAGATTTATTTCTACTCCACAGTTTCTTAAATAGGCTTTAGGTTTCTTAAATAACTTTCAACGTTAATTTATTTCTTAAGTAGACTTCCATGGAAAGATAAGAGAGACTAAATGATTTAAATAAGTATCAGAGAGCATGACCAGTATATGATTTATAATAAACTCACTTCTTATATTCAAATCAATATCATACAATAAGGTTGATTTTTATGGGTAAATCTCCACTGGCTAAGCTGGCAATTGAAGTTCCAGACTTGCAGTTAGACAAACAAGTCTTGAAGTATATAAAGACCACCACCAACAACACCAAGGCCTTCTTTACCATCAACGCCACTTTCAATGTTTTGCGTTTATTGAGGGGTAGGAGTGAAGAATGAGGTGTCTTACATTTTTTTTTTAGTATTATAAATCTGACTCATGATATTATTCATGAATAAATGAATATTTGAAAGATCAATAATCATTTGAAATATCAGTAAGTATTTTTGGACTATTAGTAAAATTAGTGGTGAAAATTTTACTTGTTCAAAGAACTTTATATCTTAAAATTCTTTTCTTGTATATGATTCAAAAGACAATGATTCTTCCACTTTGGGGTTTTCACAAAATTCATTTGTTAATCTCAGTATATAGATACCAAAGAAGCCACCAACCATTGGAGATTTATTCTCTTTCTATGTGATACACAAAGTGGGACATTATTGACTATATGCAGCACTAATTATTCCAATACTCAGGTTTCCTTTTAGGATAAATTTATTTAAATTAGCTAGAATATATTAATTATGCTTCATTCAAAATTGCTAAAAGTAGTACATGCATTAGCTTTCCAAAATAGTCCTTATTTCTTATTTACTCTCTTCAAAGTGTTTGTTGCCAAATATGAATAATTTGAATAATTTCGAAAGATTCTCCAGATCAGATAGTGAGATGACGTATAAAAATTCAGTTTCTCTGTAATGTGATAAGGTCAATAGTACAGAGTTCAGAGTCTCCAATTCCTTTTTCAATTTAAAAATTCCAGTGGATTGAGTTATTTTTAAATTACTGCCCATCTTTAGCCTTCCTCTAAATTTCTTATCAACATATTTTGAATTATTTTATGAAAGTACTGTCTT